TGGTTAACTACGCGTTAGATTACCACGCATTAGATTCCTACGCTTAGAATTACCACGCGTTGGACTTACACGCGTTGAATATCCACGCGCTGGATTACTACGCGTTAGATATCCACACGCTGGATTACTACGCGTAGATTACGACGCATTAGATTCCTATGCTTAGAATTACCACGCGTTGCATTATTACGCGTTCAATTACTACGCGTTGAATACGCACGCGCTAGATTACTACGCGTTGGATATCCACACGCTGTATTACTACGCGTTGGATTACTACGCGTAGGATTACCACGCGTTGCATTACCACGCGTCGGATTACCAAGCGTTGGATACGCGTTATCCGAAACTGCCGCTCTCGCGTCTGCGCATGCGTAATCTCGCGCTCTGATTGGTCCGTGGTTTTCTTTAATAATTCAAAAACGAAGCTTCAAACCCCCTTTTTGCAAAGGAAAATCTTATTCAGAATCATGTGGCTACCCCCCATTTCAGCGATCTACAATTGAGATCTACTAACTGTGAGACACCCTGTATACAATAATAAAATAGAAGTACATCAACAAAAGGGTAAATTTTCAAAGCACTGAAGATAAAATAACAATTACAATACCACAAACATCTACATACAAATAAAAACCACGAAATGTATTAAAATGAAAAAACAATATCAACAAAAAATTCTTTAAAAAAATATTTCATGCAAAGGTAACATCGATCTAATCGAAAGTACAATATTTAACCAGCCTATAAAAAACAAATCAATGATTACAGCATCACAACGAAACAACTACAAAGCTCGAGCGGCCATCGCGAAATATTAAATGCTTGAACCAGCCGTTTACCCAGTTTCATTGTCAGTTTCGATATTAAAAACACAAAGCACCGGAAGCAAACGATTCAAATTGCAATATCAATCAAGCATGCTCGGCGGCCAAGTGGGAAAAAAAAAGAGGAAATTCAAAGTTCAACATCACGCAATTTATATTTCCCTATTGACGTTACTGTCATAAAGCATCATAATAACGATTGCCGTTTATAAGCATCGGGGTAATAAAGCTCTGTCTCTATCGCGATTAAAGCGAAAGAAGAAACACGGAGGGAAACAACAAAAACGCGAACAAAGGAAGTAATGGGTAGCAAACGAAATTAAACCTTTCTCTCTGCGTTTCTCGTTTTCTTTTCAACGTGTTTTTTTTTTACGGAAAGGAGTCTGTCCACGGAGGTATCCATGAGTTTTATAGTGTCATTATGTACCGGCAGAAGAGGCCCTTATGAGAATAGGTTCTCCGTCTTCCCTTCGCCAGGACACTCTCGGAGTTGGTCTTCCGGTTGCACGACAGCTTAGGGTTGCGTTGTCCCCTTCGGAAACTGCCAAGTCTGCGCTGGTGTCACCTCCGTAAACGATATCCGGTGGCACTGTTCCGCAGAAATTAAAAGTAACTGTTAATTTTGTGTTAAACGGGTGCAAACTTTGGTCATTATGTAGCGTGTATGGTATGCTGACAATATATATTGCTAGACTTATCTAGGGAGATGCAGGAGATGGGGAGTCGAGTGTTGAGTTCTGGATGGTGAGTTGGCAGATTTTAAGGCATTTTGTAAGGGGTATGTGGACATTTTGGGGATCAAGGGGTTGGGGAAGGTAGAATGTAGTGGAGATTGGAAATTTATTAAGGTGGGGTGTTAGGGAGCTGGGAGTTAGAGAAGTTGAGGATTTGGGGGTTTGGGGATTTGGGAATTTTGGGATTTAGGGATTTGTGAATTTTGGAATTTGGGGATTGGGGAGTTGAGAAGGTGGGGATTTGGGGGATTCTGGAAGTTGGGGACTTGAGGATTTGGGGATTTGGGGATTTGGGGATTTGGGGATTTGGGGATTTGGGGATGTGGGGATTTGGAGATGTGGAGATTTGGGAACTCTTGAATTTGGGAGTTGGTGCGTTGAGAATTTGGCGATTTGGGGACTTAGATATTTGGGGATTCTGGAATTTGGGGATTGGTGAGTTGAGAAGTTGGGGATTTGAGGGGATTCTGGAAGTTGGCGACTTGAGGATTTGGGGATTTGGAGATTTTGGGATTTGGGGATTTGGAGATTTGGGGATTTGGGGATTTGGGGATTTGGGGATTTGGGGATATGGGGATGTGGGGATTTGGAGATGTGGAGATTTGGGAACTCTTGAATTTGGGAGTTGGTGCGTTGAGAATTTGGCGATTTGGGGACTTAGATATTTGGGGATTCTGGAATTTGGGGATTGGTGAGTTGAGAAGTTGGGGATTTGGGGATTCTAGAATTTGGGAATTGGTGAGTTCAGAATTTTGGGATTTGGAGATTTGGGGATTTGGGAATTTGGGGATTTGGAGATTCTGGAATTTGGGAATTGGTGCGTTGAGGAGTTGGGGATTTGGGGACTTGGGGATTTAGAGATATGGAAATTTTGAGATTTGAAAATTTGAAGATTTGGAGATTTGGAAATTTGGAAATTTGAAGATTTGAAGATTTGAAAACTTGAAGACTTGAGAACTTGAAAACTTGAAAACTTGAAAACTTATCAACTTGAAAACTTGACTACTTGAAAACTTGAAAACTTATCCACTTGAAAACTTGACTACTTGAAAACTTGACTACTTGAAAACTTGACTACTTGAAAACTTGACTACTTGAAAACTTGAAAACTTATCAACTTATCAACTTGAAAACTTGACTACTTGAAAACTTATCAACTTATCAACTTGAAAACTTAAAAACTTGTCAACTTGACAAATGATAAAAATTGTAGCCTACATATTTCACATTAAATCATAAAAATGTTAAAATAATTAAAAACCTGACCAATTCACCTCATTATACAAAAGCACTAAACTAAAAATATTTCCAACAATCGCGTTGAAAATTGTAACCTATATATTCGACGTGATTTCGAAGTTATAATCAAAGTATTTGAAACCATTTAAAAGTTAAGAACGTAAAACGATAAGTCCAGTTAAAACGCGATCCTGCGAACAAGTGTTAAAACTGTAAAGAAAGAATTATACAAAAGTTTCAAATTAGCAAAGAACAATTATTGAAGCTGAAGTTTTTAAAAGAACCTCTTATATACGTAGCTTTGACGCGGAAAACTGTGGAGAGGTAGCTTTTAATGTTTAGTTAGTATAATTAGAGTCGATTTAGGGTCCGGAAAGGATGGGAATGAAGCAAGAAATTACAAATGTTTAAAACGTTGGGAACATAATTATTATCCTCCCTGTGTGTACTTTTTATATTAAACGGCGATTAAACAAGATTATACGGAAGATAATGAAACGAGAAGAACACATTATATAAACAGTTCTTATTAATTAAAATCAATTTTATTACCGCTGCTCTTCTGTGGTCCCGTGTTAATTTTTAATTAGTTCATATAAAAACGTAAGTCCGCTACCTTTAATTATATTATTTTTCATTTAATTAAGCGGGAACGAAGAACTTCACCTGGGATCATTTCTTTGTCAATTTATTTGCTGAGTAAAATTCGACTTCAAATATAAATGCACTCATCTGTTAAATTTAATGAAATAGAAAAATTAGTGGTCATATATTTAGTTGACACAGAAATTAATTTTTAATTATTTCATATAAAAATGTAAGACCTATCTGTAATTTCATTTAATTCACAAAAAATTTCACCGACGATAAATTCAAAGTTAATTCATGTAATGTCGCTTTTAAAATACAGGGTCTTAACTTGAATAAAAAATGGTAATATATAGAACTGTTCATTTAGTTAAAAAATTAAAAGTGACAAAGGGTTGATGAAAGAAGTCGACTTTTAAAAACGAACGGTATTATTTCAGAGATTAAAATAATACCTCTCGGTTCGGCAATTAGGTATGTAAAAAAATGATATCGAAAATATTTTCTCGAACGAGCGAAAAGTTGCGTAACAAAGTTCGACGAGTTCCGTCGAGGTAACGATTGGTAATAAGGTAAAAAGTTTTCGTTGCCTTAAAGTAGCCACGTTCGAAAGCTGAGGAGGGGCGGAAAGAAAAAACGAGGGAAAATAAAAAAGAAAAATATAGCTGGCGGAGAATAATTTAATGAATAACCAGGATAACTTTGCCGAAAGTTCTTTTGTACTTACATATCTCGGTCACGGAACTTTGGATGTCGTAGCAATTTAAATTACGTTCGTGTTTGAACAGAAAGATTAAACGTCCGATTACTATATGACTATATTAACCCTCTGTCACTTGGCGAACTAACATTCATTACAGTTGCCCGCTAACTACGATATATTTCATCGTGCCACCGTGCACATACAATTTGTATCGATTTAAACTCACTACACAATTGTATTGCTCGCATTAAGTAGCGTGAGAAATTATGGAAACGGCTTGCGCCCTCGTCGATAACCTTTCATCAAATTAATATCGTTGATTTAGTCGATTGCTTTTGTTGAATTTCGAGGAACTATACTGATCTCATATTTCTCAGAATTTTTACCTTTTAACGTTCGATAATAAGTCCTGTACAATTACTGTCAAAAGCTAAGAAACATAGATACAAATATAACGCTGCAAATATTTAACATCGTATTAGACATATTTAATATTTGTAGAAATTTCAGGATATAGAGATATTGGGATCTAGGGATATTGGGAGCTAGGTATATTCAAGGTATATTTGGATTTAGGGATGATGGGATCTAGGGATATTGGGACCTGGGGATGATGGTATCTAGGGATATTGGAAGCTAGGGATATTCAAGGTATATTTGGATTTAGGGATTATAGGATCTAGGGATATTTGGACCTAGGAATGATGGGATCTAGGGATCTAAGGATATTGGGGTCTAAGGATATTGGGATCTAGGGATATTGGGATCTAGGGATATTGGGATCTAGGGATATTGGGATCTAGGAATATTGGAATCTAGGGATATTGGGACCTAGGGGTATTGGGACCTAGGAGTATTGGGATCAAGGGATATTTGGATCTAGCGGTGTTTGGATCTAGGGATATTTCGGAACTAGGGATGTTTTGGGGTCTATGGATATTTTTAGATCTAGGGATATTTCAAATCTAGTGATATTGGGATGTAGAGATATTGAGATCTAGGGATATTGAAATCTAAGGATATTGGGATCTAGGGATATTGGGATCTATATATATTGATATCTAGAGATATTGAGATCTAGAGATATTGGGATCTAGGGATATTGAAATCTAAGGATATTGGGATCTATATATATTGAGATCTAGAGATATTGAGATCTAGGGATATTGAAATCTAAGGATATTGGGATCTATATATATTGAGATCTAGGAATATTGAAATCTAAGGATATTGGGATCTATATATATTGAGATCTAGAGATATTGGGATCTAGGGATATTGGGATCTAGACTTCTCGAATCTAGGGATATTATGATCATGGGATATTTAGATCTAGCGACCCAGGGATCTAGGAATGTGGGGATATAAGGATCTATGAATCTGAGCATACATGTATGTTATACCATCTATTGATTTGATGATATGGTCACCTAGGGATTCTTAATTAATTAACGTTACTTATTATTTACTAATTTCTCAATTGTATAAATATAGTTAAATCAGCTGATTGATATTACTGTAAAACTTAATGCTACCATCTAATTTGTGCAATGTAACCCTAACATCTGTAATAGCTTGTTGTAAAAATACGGTATGAAAGATTAATATATCAATAGAATGTCACTATTAACAACCTATTAAATTGAAATTTTTAACCTCAGACCTTGATATGATTCCTTTAAGTCATATACTAAACTTTTGGAGTGAACAATAAATCTGTTGAGCGACACGAGTATACAAGATATATTTACGCTCCATCAAACTGTATCAGTGTATCGTAGAACGTACAAGCCCTCACTTTATTAGATAACAAAAGGTGAAGCTTACCAAGAATATCCAAACATCCGAGCTCGGATATCATCGGACTGGTGTTAATTTGACACATATAACAGTCCCTATCCGATTCCTTCAACTGACGTATGTGCAGCCGCCACGTGCCATTGACGACTTCCTCCGTCGGTTGGCTACTTCCCGTCACACCGAAGGCGTTAGCGGAAGCTGCCCCTGACCCGGAACTTCCGCCGGTTTCGTACGAGACCGCGATACGTGCATTGTGCGTTACCGTCCTCGTGTGAACCGAGAGAATCGTGTGGTCCGAAGCACGTAGCCATCCAACCTGCAAAACCCATTGTCATTTTCCTACCGGTGTCGTAACAGCCCTTCATTCGTTACCGCGACTGAAAGGAGCGTTTTTAAAAAAAATCACCGCCCTCAGACTTCTTTACGACCGACAAAATTCTAGCGGGACGTTTAAAAATATTGTCCGGCATGAAAGAATGTTCTCGCCCGAAATATGCCGGGGAAGTTGTAGAAAATGTGGACGCAAATTGCGGTCAAACAAATTTTTATAAAAGGAAGGTTATCTTTTTTTGGGAGAATAAAAATTTTAGTAAACGGAAGACATCTTCGGTTTCGGTGGAGTTTAGGTTAAGACTAGGATCAGTAGTTGATGGTTAGGTTAGGTTAATGCATTAGAAAGTTGAACCTAACCTAAACAGAAACCGGTCTTGATGTAACATAACATTGTTGATAAGAAATATTTTCAACGACTTTCGTTAATTATGAAACTTATTCATTTTTCTTAAAGGAAATAAAAATGTTGCAAGATGTATTTTGTAGGGAAAAGCGTTTAGGTTAAGACTAGGATCAGAATGTTGATGGTTAGGTTAGGTTAATGCATTAGAAAGTTGAACCTAACCTAAACAGAAACCGGTCTTGATGTAACATAACATTGTTGATAAGAAATATTTTCAACGACTTTCGTTAATTATGAAACTTATTCATTTTTCTTAAAGGAAATAAAAATGTTGCAGGATGTATTTTATAGGGAAAAGCGTAACGAAATAATCTTCATCATCGTCAAACCATAATCCGTCTGCGAGACAATTAATCATCTGTATCTACATCATAATTCTTGAGAAAGTTTGCCGATAAATCAAGCAAAGTTCGAAATCGAGCAAATCTGATATAAGTATCATCAGATCGTTGCTACGTAAGTCACGAAGATATTTGTTTGCGTGCATGAAGCACGTATCAAATGGAAACACCCTCCTCGATATTATGCATGCCATATCGACGAAAATGAAGATTTTGAATTTCAAATTGGAATAGCACCAAATTCCACCGATTGCCGAAAATGTCAAACCGATGTATAACTTAATAATATTATTTTTGTTGAAATAAAATTATGGGCGCTTGAATAATTTTGAATTTTGTACGCGTGTTAATGAATATCAGGTGCATATTTATGGTACATAAATATATTCATAGATGTTGTATTTGGAAAATTAGAAAATGGATCGAAAATTGAAATTAGAATATTGAAATATTTGTATATTGCAAAATTATGAAGTTAAGTAATAGGAAAATTGAAAGATTGAAAAATTAAATTGGTAAGATAGAATGGGAAACGTAAATGAAAAAGTTAGATAATTGAAGAAGAATGCAAGAAAATTGAGGAATTAATAGATGATGGATTAGAGATTAGGAAAATTGGAAAAATGTGAAACAGAATTTATAAACAGGAACAGAGGAAAATTGAGGAACAGAATTTTGAGAGAAACAATTGGAAAATGATGGGATGATAGAAAACAAGAAAATTGTGGAGCAATGTTTGGAAATAGGAAACAGGAAAATTGGAAAATTCACGAATAGAATATGGAAACTGGAAAATTGAAAAATAATAGAATAATAAAATTGAAAAAAATGATGAAATGAGAAGATTGAAAAAATTGGAAAATAATGGATCAAGAAAATTGAAAAATAAGACAATGGTGAAGCAGAATGTGGAAGTAGAAGAATTGGTAAAATATGGAAATCAAGAACATAAATAAAGAAAAGCTGATGAATAGGGAAATTAGCAGATCAAGAACTTAAGTAATAAGATAACAGAAAAATGGGGAAGTTGACGAAATCAGATGTAGCTTAATTGGAAATGAGAAAATTGAGAGATAAGAGAAGAAACTTGAGAAATAGGAAAATTAGAAAATAGGAAAATACGAGGATAGGAAAATAAGAAAATATGAAACTGGAAAAATTGGGAAATTTGTAATTTGGTAATTTGAGAAATTAAGAAATTGGGAAACTTGCAAATTGGTAAATTGGGAAATAGGAAATTTGGGAATTTGGAAAATTGGGAAATTTGTAAGTTGGTAAATTGGGAAATTGGAAATTTAG